TTTACAGAAAAGCACACTTTTTGGTCCGCCACATCAGTGAAATCGCAGTTTTGCGAAAAGAAAACAAAACTTTTTTTCTCTGATGAGCTCTTTTGATAAAAAAAAGGTTAACAAGAAATTATACCGAAAATATTTTCGACTCGTGACGGGTTCGGATCCAGGTGGGTTCATTTCATTTTTATCGTTCTGGGTCCGGGACTAGGTACTAAAGAAACAAAACTCGGGCTTGGGTCGGGTCTCGGGTACAAAAAAGTGGACCCTTTATAATCTAGCCTTTCGCACCTCGGTTTGTACAAACGTGTATTTGGCTGGGTAAATTGCCAAAAGAGTGACGGGAGCACCTCGACGAGGCCCTACTTGTTAAAAAATCTGTTGTTCTTCATTTTAACTTATGTCTTCCTCATTCTAGGATTTATTATAAATCTGTCGGTACTACATCGAAAAGTTTAAAAGAGATAAAAAAATATGTTAAAGAACATGGTTCTCAAGATACAATCTACGATGTATTTAAAAATAATTGTCAGCACTATGTTAGGTCCGTCATTGAAGATTTCTTAAAATTGGGTTATCCAGCTGGATTAGTGGAAACAGCTAGCAAACCAAAGGATCTTGAGGTTCTCAATCAACAGGTCGAGTCTTCAAGTGAAAATAGTAGTAGAAGTTCGCAACCTGTAACGACCCGAAGATCGTCGCCTGTAATCACACGAAGATATTCACCTGTCACGACACGAAGATCGTCACCTGTAACGACACGACGAGAAAACAAAAGCATTCTCCATGATATTTTGCGATCGGAAGGGGGAGGTTGTTGGGGTCTCCCGCGCGATTGGAAATTTAATCGTTTGGGTAGTTGAGTACTCTCTGTAAATAATTATTTTATTTTTATTTTTTCACATCTAGTTAAAAGGTTACCATTTTTTTAGTTGTTTTAAGCTTGTTCTTATTGTTAACCAAGGAAAACCTCTTTGTTTTTAAAATAAACATGATTCTGTCGTTGAAATTAGATAATTTTTGGCCTTCTGTTATAGTTTAGAATGGTTATGTTTGTAGAACTGTTACTATTTCCATAAGCAATTTTGCTTCTGCCTATGTGTAAGAGTGTCCAAAATCACTTTTTTAGGTCCCGGTCCTGGTGAAGCCTAAAACTTTTTTACACTTTATGCGAAAATACACACTTTTGAAGCTTTACCTGAGGGGATACCATTTTTTACCTCTTGTTTAAACCTTTGCCATAAAAAAACAATCAAAATTTAGGAGTGCGTGAACGAATTTTTCAGCACTCGGTCTTTTTTGTCGACAAAATGGGGCCAAAATAGCATGTAGCCGGGACTAATTTTCCGGAACTGGGATTAGTCCCGTACATCCTTACCTATGTGACCAGGAAACGTTCCGAGGTGACACTCTCAGAGTTCCTACTGCGAATTGATTAGCATCGTGTTTGATCTGTTCTCTTCTTTACGAATTCGCACGATGAATTCGTAAAAGTTTTTAAGAGTATCCGTACGAATTCGACACAGTTTGCATCAATTCGCTGCGAATTCGCAAAATAAGGGTAAAATGCGAACTGTTGCATCATTTTTACGCTTAAAAATTGGGATTCGTCAATTCGTCTTTAGACACTTTGTCAAGTGACGAAGAATGAAAAAGAATCTGATGAAGAAGCTGATGAACACAAAACACTAAATGAAGAAACACAAATAACAACTGACGCACCACGTTTGCGTTTAGAACAAAAGAGTGTTTGTGAAAGTGAAAACGAAGAAGAAGACTTGTACAATTTAATAAAAAATTGTCAAACCGATACAACTTGAACATGAAAATATAGATGATCGTATTGTTCATGTCGAACTACAAGAACAACGACAAAGAAATGGTAACGAAGGTAAAGTTTATTTGAGTAAAAATGGATCAGCTTTGTCTTCCACTTTTAGCTATCGAAGCATAAGAAGAACAGCCAGAACATGTACAAAATACTACAGATTTATCAAGTTTGTCTCCAGAGCTTCAGCAATTACTGTTATCGCTTAAAACCCATATTTCAAATGAAATTTCAACACATTTAGTGCCGATGAAAACGACATTGAGCAATATGGATCGGAAGATAAACTATTTTTATGAATATGCAACAATGGATAAAATATTGAAATTATTGAAATTCAAATATGAAATTGAATTTAGTGGTGAATATTTACCAACACGTCGTTTGTTCACATCACATACAAACAATGAAATGATGAAACAATTTTTTTATTATTTTGGTACACAAATGGAAAAAGTATACAAAAAATTATGGAATAAGTACATTTCACTATCAACAGCAATATCATTATGTCCGGACAAAATAGAATTTGATATGGTCGGTTTTGGCTACAAAGATACATCAAAAACCCACAGTGATAAGACGAAAGAAAAGTTTACAGTGATTGTAAAATAAAAACTAAAACTTATAAAATCCCCACTAGTTGATGTTACCTGTAAACGTTCATCATCATTAAAATTTATCCATGAAGATAGTAAAGATAGTGAAGGTAAACATATAGAAGTCAACGTATTATTGATCATGGAAGCAACAACAGCTAAAATATATTTTGATGAAATAATATTGAATTTATTTCAATCTTCAGTGCCAACATTAACATTAACAGAAGATGTATTCCAAAATTAAAAGAATTATATGAAATAAATCAATTTCAAATGGTTTGTTAAAAAAGTTCAAAAACAAGAAGAAAAACTGTTCATTTTCACATTTTTTTTGTTATACATTCTTTGACTTTTGAGTGTGTTTTGACGTTCACTGTAGTAAGTGTTTAATAGAAAAATGAAAACCGAAATCGGTCAACATTTGTTTCAATTTGTGAAAAATTTCGACGTTTGAAACAGATTGTTTGGAAGGTGGTCTGTTGGATGCTGTTCAAAACTATTCTTTCTAGTGGAAACAGAAAGAGATGCTTGGTCATAAAAAAGTGCCCATGCGACCTGGTTCCTGAGATGTGAGCATTTTAAGTTATCATAGCGGTCGCTTATTGTCACTAGTTTAGAAGGGTTGAGACTAGTTTCCAAATACTGGGACCCGAAAGTATTTTACTCAGAAACCATTTTGGTGGTACCAGTTTGTAGAGGACATCAAATTACATATGTATGTCAATTTTTATGCCTGTCGGATCAGTTTTGACACAACTATCAACAGTTTGACAATGAATACTATATTTCAGTAGCTCTTTAATGTAACGCTGAAAAAAGATAACGGGAGTATAGGGATAGTTAATATTTTGGGTATTCGCAACAACTGCAGCACATAGTACAAAACACTTTGCACTGTAAGGGGTCGGAAATTCGAACTTTCAATAATCTATAATACATGTCTGGATAGAGCGCAACAAGTTGAGTAAGAAAAACTGGTTTTTTAATTTTTTTTAAATCTTCTACGGTTGAAAAATATAAAAATGAATGCTCTCAGTTTTTTGAAAAGATGTTCGATGTTTTGAAAAAATTCAAGTGTTCACCTTTATCGTTCTCAATTTTTTTAAACTATTTTTTCAGATTCAGCATTAACAATTCAGTATAGAAACGATGCGTAATCGACTTCAAACACAAAATCAATCGAGTTTGGCAGTCGAGAGCAGACTCCATCGGAAGGGTCATACTGCATTTTGTAAATCTATCTACTATCCATTTCAAATTAAAAGACGGGTGGCTATTTTTCGAGTAACTCGAAGATCCCTTAAAACCTGATTTTTGAAATTTTTTTCAAAACGTTTCTGCTTATGTAAAGATACTTTTAAGTGTCGGTTTTCGAATGGTGAAAACCGCATGACTTTATCTCATTTCGTTTTCGAGTTACTCGAAAAATAGCCACCCGTCTTTTAATTTGAAATGGATAGTAGATAGATTTACAAAATGCAGTTTTTTTTTCACA